AACAAATCAGAGAAGAGTAGCATTATCTTGAGATTATCTTGTTTTAGTACACACACCAAAGGTTACTCCTTCCCTGATGCTGAGCAAGTGAATTCATAGGCCCTTATCAAAAATTAAATTGATAAGAACATGTCAGATAGGAGAAACAAATACTAGGCTTGCTGTCTGGCATCCATGCCAATGTTAATAGCTAAATGCGCAATATATTGTGAAAGTCTTTCTTGTCCCAACATAGTATCAGACCTCATACTATCTAGTCTGACCAATGATCAAGGATCAGATTATGAGAATCAAAGTACAAACCTCAAACTTTGTTACAGTCTCTTGTTATTAAGGCAAACTTTTCAAGTCCAGCTCCTATCCATTTACCTCAATTAGAGGACACTGGGAAAGCTCAAATGAGACATTTGCTAGCTTAGCATTTTTCTCCATTACAATTCTATTAAAGTACTCATGTCACTTCCATACATGCATCTTTCCTTTTCTGAATTCTGATCCTCCCCTACTACTCCTTGTATCCAAAACGATATGTCATGCTTGACCAATGTCACCTCGTGTGGCAGTGTCACAGAGGCAATTATTACCCTCCTCTCTAGCAGAGGGTAATAACTGAGTAATGAATGCCATGCTTCCTGCCCCAGCTGCTTTTGCCAGGTACTCTACCCACTGCTGGGGGAGGGATCTGTCATCTGTGACCCTGTAAAAGGAGTTTTAGTTCAGTACCTGTCCTGATAAGATCCTAGAAGAATAAGGGCAAGAACCTTGAAACTCTACTTTGAAAGTTTACAGTTTCCTGATGTATACATCTATCTGCCAAAAAAGCGAGGGGGCTAAATTGGACTAATCATCGTTTAAGTTCTTACTAGATATAAAGCATATCTCCTTTAGCACTTGGCACAAAGAGAAGTGTTCTAGAATAACTTTTAATTTCCCACCCAGTTCTATGGATTTCCTTAGCTCTTGGGAATGTTGATCTTAAATAAAATACTTTTTAAATTTACTTTTTTTCAGTGGGGCATTCTTATAATGGAAAGGTTTAAACCCACAAAACTAGATAGGGTGTGTGTCCATCCTATTAGTTACCCATTTTCTCAGTGTGGCTAAGAAACTTTGCTACCTTAGAAAGGGTATAAGAATCTAACCATTCAATATGGTAGAGTAAAGGAAGCAACCCAGGCAAATTTTCCTCCAAATAATTTTAAAATAACATATCAAATTGAATATTGGAGTGACAGAGCCAATAAAAGATCAGGGTCAGACATTTTTCCAGCCTAAGATAACTTAGGAGGTTGGTAGGAGAGGTCTACAACACTGGGATGGAGTCTGGCCTGGAGCAAATAGGGTGGCAATACCAGCAATGGGCCTTGGAGGTAGCTGTGAAAGTGAGAACAGCAGCTTCAGGAACTCTTGGTCCAAAGTTGGTAAGGGGGTTGGACAACTGGTCAGAAAGAGATTAAGGGGACCCTTTGCTGGTACTGAGTACAGGACCTGGTGTCATCTTGTTACTCTACTGCCCATATACAATTTGTATCACAGTTCTAGGGAAGAAAGGAGCACTTGTGGTTGGTCACAAGGGAACAGGAGACCTGAACACAGTTCCGGGGTGGAGAGGAATGCTTGTGGCTATAGGGGACTAGGGACTCTGGTCATAATCATGGCTAAGAGGAGTGCTAGTGCTTGTGACTGCAGGAGAGCAGGGGCCCTTCCTAGATAAAAACCAGAGGAAAGACCAGGAGAGCAATGACCATACCTTTCTCCAGATCACACCACCTTACAGGCACCAAAAACTTGAAGACTCCCAGAACTAGCTCTGAAAACAGCAGCTGGGGGGCAGGGTGGGGGGGGGAGTCTAAAGCTTGGGACAGTGCATCCTTAGCCCCAGGTGAACAAAACCCAACTTAAACATAAAATTCAAAGTCAAGAAGTAGGCTGGAAAAATGAGCAAGCAACAAAAGAAGAACTTCACCAAAAAAATCACTACAGTTGCAGGGAAAAAGAGGACACAAACCTGGAAGATGACAACAACATGAAAACAACTACAAGCAAAACCTCAAAGGAAAGATGCAAATTGGAAATAAGACTAACAAGAATTCCTGTAAGGGTTAAAGAAAGAAATGAGTGGCAGAGGAAAAACTGGGAAAAGAAATGAGACTGGTGAAAGAAAATTATGAAAAGAAAATTAAGAATCAAAGTATTTACTTATAACGCTGACCTCAGAATCAGAAGTTACCAGGATAACTTAAGAAGTAGGGTCAGCTCTATATAGAGAGTGAGCTAAGAAACCCTTTATTAAATCAAACCCTAACTGTAAGGTTACATTCCATACAATTTAGGGCATACTTAGTGGAAACTTAGTGAAAAAGTGTACCTTAGCACACTTTTGAGAACCATAATTCTAAAGTTTGGAGGGGTTATAAAATGCAGTGGTGGAAAGAGTAACCATATTGATCAATTCACAGCTCTTTAGAAATGAAGATTTATACTACTCTTAGCAAATCAACTGAACATTTATTTGAGCACCAAAAGGAAAACCAGTGCTCTGTGCTGCCACAGTAGCCACTGCCCTTAGTAATCTTGTAGTTTAGTTAATGGAAATATGGTTAATATACATGGAAGAACTTTTAAAAATTAACATTAATATACTATATGAATTGAATGAAGGCTGGAACTGCTGAAGGATCTTCAATCTCTTCCTATCTACTGGGTCCTTCCAAGATGCCTGCAAACATGCCCCTGTCTCCCCCAACCTTAAAACAAATCAAAACCTCACTTGACATTTACCATCACCTAAAGTTATCATTCTATCTTTCTCCTCCCTTTTGCAAACTATTAGAAAAAGCTGTTTCTATTTGTTGCCTCTATTTGCTCTCTGCTCCATCACTTCAGGCCCTTGCAATCTGGGGCTCTGCCTCACTCAACTCATACCGTTCTCTCCCAAATTACCAAGGATCTCTTAAATGTCAAATTTAAAGGACTTTTCTCAATCTTCATCTTTCTTGATCTCTTCCTAGAGTTTGACACTATTGATTATGCTCTCTTAGATACTCTCTCTATTACTCTACTGAGTTTTTAATACACTGCTTCACATGCTAATCAGCCACCACTCCAGTCATCTTCTTGCTACCTGAATATTCTCCTGACCTTCATACAACCATTGTTTCTGGAAAGAATGTGTCAATTGAGGTTCCCATGGCTCTGTTCACTAGGTCTGTCACTTCCCAGACTACAAGACATATCTCTTCACCACTCCGTATTAGAATGAAAGCTTCTCGAGGGCAGGGACTATCTCATTTTTGAATTTGTGTCCCCAGAACTTGACACCAGTGCCTAGCACATGGAAAATACTTGTTAAATGCTTCTTACTCATACATTCGTTCGATCACCCCAAATAGTCTGTTGCCAAAACATTTTGATTATATCGTTTCTCTTTTCTCTGGTTCACAAGATGACCACCAACCCTAATTCAGGTCTTTGTCATCTGACCTACTAATAATCACCTCCTAATTGGTCTCCTTACTTTAAGCTTCTCCTTTCTCCAATCTTTCCTTCACACAGCTGCCAAAATCATAGTCCTAGAACACGTCTGATAGAGTCACTTTCTTGTTCAATAAGTTCTTGTATTGCCCTATTTCTTCTAAGACTAAATGCAATCTCCTGTTAGGCATTTGAAACCCTTTATAACCTTGTCAAAAAATACCCTCCCAGGCTTATCATACATATTTCCCTTCTTATGCTCTAGAACCCAGGCAAACGCTCAGACTTGCTCTCCTCTCACATGACATTCTATCTCCCATCTCCATGCCTTTATAATCACTGTCCTTCATGCCTGGAATGCACTCACTCACCTTTACCCCAGACTCTCCAGCTTTCTTAAAAGTCCAATTAAAATGTCACTTGCTACATGAAGTCTTTCCTATTTCCACTCCCCAAGCTTCTTCTTCCCCTGCCCCCACTCACTACCCTGAAAATAACTATTATATGCATACATAGGGAGATTTTTGTCTTCCATGATAAAGAAAAAGCTTTTCCAGGGCAGGGATTGTGTATTTTTTGTCTTAATATCCCCTGCACTTAGTAGTTTCTTAATACTAGCACATAGTAGATACTTAATACTTGATTTATTGGAAAGCTTTATCCAAGTGGTTGGACTTGAGTTAGGCTTTGAAGAGTTGTGAATTTTAAATCAAATAAAATTCTTGAAATCTAGTTTAATTTCCCCATAATGTAATTGTATCATGCTTCATGTTCTCCCTGGGTTCTAATATACCCAGTCTTTTAATTTACTCAGTCTCAGCCCCACCACAGGAGGTAGGAGAGTGGGAAAGACGAAAGAAAGGGGGGGGGGCAGAAATTAAACCACTCCGCCATTCCTACCTATCAACTTCAGTTCATTGCTGAGGTATAAAGATGATCTGAGGTTTCTTCCATCTCTAGAGCTTCTGGACAGCACACAGACTACTCCAAGATCAATAACACTGGTTCCTGAACTCCAAAGACACTAAAGTCCAGTGCTGAATTTTAATCTTGTATTTCCACAAATCACTCAGGAGTGAGGGAAGCTTGATTCAGGTCTCACTGTTATTTCTTGCTGCTCCCCAATATAGAAGGCAACTTTCAAAACTGGTTATACAAAGAGCTCTCTCTGCATTGGTCCCCAGAAAATAGCATCATCTTACTGCTCGGATTCTGGCATCCTTCCCCAACTCTCCACGTCCTTATTCTAGGCAACCCAAGTTCCATGTGGTATAATTCTTAATTAACAAAGCCTCACAAAAACCTCTAGATAGCTGGGAATTGGCTGGGGAGGAAGAAAGAGAGAGAGAGAGAGAGAGAGAGAGAGAGAGAGAGAGAGAGAGAGA